GTCGTCAGGCCTGACTGAACTCACGCACAGCACGCCCGGCGTTCGACTGCCGTGGCTCCCTGACCGTGGCCTTTTCTAAAGAAGCGCCCGCGTCGTCTCCGTCAAGTACGAGCACACGCCCTTCCACAAGACGGTCAAAGGAGATGGTTGAACACTTCCGACCCGCCGCCGCCGCCGATGCCCGCCGCCGCCGCCGCTGCCGAGACGACCGAGATGACGAAGAAGACGCCCAGGAGGTCAAAGGCCGCAGTCGAGAACGGCGATGGCAACGAAGGCGAAGGAGGGGCAGCCGGCCAGACGAAGAAGACGCCCCGAAAGCGCAAGTCAGATGTTGACGGAGCGGCCTCGACAAAACGGAAGCGCAAGAGCAAGCCAGGCGCCGGCCAGAACGCCACTGATGCGATCATGGTCCCGGTGACGCTCGACGGAGCTGATGGAAACACACAAGCCCAGACGAGGGCCGACGAGATGGTACAGAGCAGCGTGCACTCGCACGCACTGCTCAACGTGCCACCGGCCGAGGCGACCAGACGCCGCGAGACGGCTATCCGGCTGCTGTCCGAGGGTGGGGTCGAGCCTGAGACGTTGTCGACTGACCAGTTTGGCATCTTTGCGAACCAGTCGCCGGACCTGCAGAAGGAGTCGCTCATCATGCTCGCGAGGTACGGCGCTGAGCGTCTTCGCATCGTCCACCCCAAGGACCAGGCTGCTTCCGAGACGCCCAGTGGTGGCGAGAGCTCAACTGAGCAGACCCCGCAGCCAGCGAACGGCGAAGCCGCTGTCGAGCCTGGTGCGAGCAGCGTCGAGCCGACCGTAGCTGTCGGAAATATTGCAGGCGGAAAAAAGGCGGCGAAGCCCAAGCTCACGCGAGGGGCTTGCACGCCGTGCCGCTCCAGCCGCACTAAGGTACGCAATCCGTGGTCGCGGCCGGTGTTGATGAATTTGCTACTAACACACCAAAAGTGCGACCGTACAAAACCATCATGCGACGCCTGCATCGTCGCTGACATTAGCTGCGAGTATCCCCTCCAGCTGAATCGCGGACCCAGGGGCGAGAGCAGCGGCAAGCCTGCCAAGCCAAGAAAGTCTGCTGCACGAATCGAACCAGACACAGAGCCTGAGGAGGTCGAAGATCCAGAGCCCGACGACATCGAGACCATCGACTACACTTCGAACATGCCCGTGGCCAGCGTGGTCACGCCAGCAGCAGACTTGAGTACTCAAGATTACTTCAACACGGGCTCCGGGGGCCTATCGTTCCCCCAGACGAACCACCCCGATGTGCCGGTCATCAACCCTTCCAGCGTGACATACCCAGCACCACCGCCAGCTGCCGAGAAAACATTCTCTGAAGTACACGCAGCCGTCGTGTCGCCGCCGAATCCGCGACAGACAAACGGTCGCCGCAGCCTGCCTTCTGGTCCCACCCAAGCGGCGCCGGACGCCAAACAGACGCAAGCTCAGATCGACTACGCATGTGGCTGGCAGCAAGGGGCATTTTATGACGCGGCCCGGAGAGCGCAGCACACGGTCGCCTACTCTCGCCAAGCAAAGCAGCGAGGCAGCATCAGCAGACCAACAAGCCTCGCCGACTGTTCAGCCCGCACAAACCGTTACCCCATCCCAGACATCTCCCTTCCAGGCGCCTGGCAGACTGCTAGAGTCAAGTCGCGGACCGGGCAAAGGGGCCAGACCCCGCATGGCGCCCAGCGCACGTCGACGCCGTCGCACCACACGGTGCAGCAGACCCGATCGCCTGCAGCCCCGCCCCCGACCGTCGCCGCACCGAACTACAGCGCCGCGGCCGACCTGACGGCCCTGTCACAGCAGAGCGCGTACAGCGTGCGCTATTCGAGCGCAGCGGACCAACAAACTGCGCCGATGCGACTCGGGTACGAGCCATACTCGGTCCAAACCGCAGCCTCCAGCTCCACGTATCCCGCGCAGAGTGCCTACAGCAACAGATCATCATCCACATCCCACCTACCTACGGTTCAGGCTTCTCAACAACCAGCCACTTCAGACTACAGTACGACGACGGCGGCGGCCGACCAGACTTGGCCGGACACCCATGGTCGCGCCGGCCAAACCTACAGCACCGGCACATCGAGCGCCTCGACCTCAGCCCAGCACCAACACCACCAGTCTACGTCTCTGCAGCAGTTTGACATGCGCTCCAAGGGTCCAGGACACCAGCAGCCTCGTTCCCAGCAGCAGCAGCAGCAACTGCAGCAGCAGCAGCAGCAGCAGCAACAGCCATATGGGAGCTACACCCCTCAGCAGCAGCAGCAGCAGCAGCAGGCGCAGACGTCTACATCGTCCCGACAGCAACAGGGTCACGAGCAGACGCAGTCCGCAGCTCAGCAGCAGGGTTCGTGGTATGGTAGCTTCGGGTCCGGCTCTTCTTCCTTTGTACCTGCCAACGCGACACCCGGGTATGGTACCCGTAGCAGCGGTTCTGCGGGGTACGGGAGCGGCACCGCGAGCACGGCGTCTTACGGCCAGCAGCAACACCCTCAGCAGCAGCAGCAGCAGCATCGACAGCAACAGCACCATGGCCTGTCTAACATGCCGGCCCACGGCTACGGGGGAGCGGACGGTGATATTTTTGATCTTCTCAAGACGGGCATGAATTCGCGGTAGGGAATGCGCGGACCTTGCGTGAATACTGGTAATTGGGCATCAACCTTAATCTCGGCATGCGATAGCACGGCGTACAGATCTTTTCGGGAACTTTTCGGGGAAGAGTTCAGCATGAGATGATAAAATGGGTCAAATGAGTCGAAGACTGACGACTACATCAGGACGGCAGAGCGAGGTCTTCTCCACAGAGCATAGCTTACTCATCGAGGCCTTCACGATTTCCGCCAGGGTTGAAAGGCGCGTTACTTGCTATGATATCTGGGATAGGTTGCGTGAAATGGAGCTCGACACGCAGGTGTTGCCGATCGATTTCCGAGGTAGCATTGGACCAGATGGGGTACCCAGTTGGAATCATTGGGAGGCAAGACTACCAAACATGCTGGATCAGCATTTCTTCATTTACCTTGCTGCGCCTGACCCGGGCTTTCGTGATCCTCCTTACCCTCGATTAAAGCCAGGGAGCCTGCCTTACTGGATCTGTCGTTTTTCTTCCTGCAAGGACAAAAAGTACCCTCCAACACCTTAGGCTCGGAATGAAGGTACTGCGGACCGGTTGCCTGCGCTGCCCGCCAGCTGTGCCACCGCTTCATGTCTTGCCGTGCCGTTGCTTGTCCAGAGCGGACGCGGGCGGCTGTTTCGCGGAACTCATGTGCTGACACAGACGTGCCTCGGACTCGGGTGGCTCGCACTCGGCACCCCCCTCCCCCCCGCAGTGGTGAGCGTACTCGGCATCTCGGACTCGGGCTCTAGTGTCGATGGCTTCCTACTCGAGGAATCCTTCTGATGACACGTCAGGCACTTTTGTTGTCGGCTCGCGTGGCACAGTACCATTCACACACACACCCCCACCCCCCGTTGCCAGGACTGAAGATGGCAAGGTGCCCGGCTGAATGGTGACGAACGCCACACGGCGCCGAGTTCGACTGCCCTTGCTGCATGCCCTGGATCCCAGCCAGATGGTCAGCTGCTGAAGCTCACCAATCAACAAAGAAACCCAAATCCTCACTTCCCCAAAACTCGACGCCGCACGGAATGCAAGGTTCCTGTTCCCAGCCAGAGCAGGGGCTCAATTACTGTGCAGCAACTTGTCCCATCTCATCCTCGGGTCTCTCAGACACATCAAATGATATTCCCGTCCTCGAGGCTTGATTTCTCCAGCCCGGTCCGCGGTCCGTTGTGCCAATGAATACAAGCCGGGTCGGGGCAAGGTTTTTGATCCCACCGGCGTGTCCGGGAAGATGATGGTTCAGGGAGGATCTCCAGATGGACATAAATGGGATCGCGAGGACGCACATCTCCTGCCGAAAGCTTCTGTATCTTTCGTCACAAGTTCCAGCATAACCAACCGCTCTGTGGTTAGCCTAGCCAAGATGCTCTTTGGATCCTTGACCGCCCTGCTCGCCATCGGCGCAACCCTCCACCTGGTGGAAGCCGCCACATCTCCGCCCAAGGCCAAGACTGTCAACGGCACCTATGTCGGGTATGACCTGCCTGAGTTTCAACAGCAGGTCTTCCTCGGTATCCCCTATGCCAAGTCGCCACCGCTGAGCAACCCCGAACCGCTCACAGAGTCGTGGAAGGGAACACGGTCGGCCCAGAAGTACGGCAACATCTGTCCCACGCAGTCTGACGAGAGAATCTTCAAGGCAGTCAATGCCACCTTCTCTCACGATTGTCTCAACCTCAACATCATCCGGCCCGCCAATGTGCGCGCTGGAGACAAGCTTCCCGTTGCCGTGTGGCTCCACGGTGGTGGCTTCTTCGCAGGCTTCGGCGCAGAGAGCAACACCAACACATCGTACGTGATCAGGGCCAGTGTTGAGAACAAGACGCCCATCATCACCATTACCCTCAACTACCGTCTCGGATTCCTGGGATTCCCAGGTGGACCACAGGCGGTGGCGGCGGGCATCACGAACCTCGGTCTCAAGGACCAGCGCATCGCCCTCCGATGGATCCAGGAGAACATTGCAGCGTTTGGTGGTGATCCTGCCAAGGTCACCCTGTGGGGTCAGTCTGCAGGCGCCATTTCCATCACGCACCAGATCCTCGCATACGGCGGTGAGGATTCAGGTCTTTTCCGCGGTGGCATCGCTGTCAGTGGTACGGCTGGATACGGCACCAACAGTCTTTTCCCCCTGAGCACGCACCTGACGGACGGCTATAACCACATTGCCAACGCATCCGGCTGTGCGGGCCCCGAGATTGATGACAGTCTCGAGTGCCTCCGAAAGATCGACGCCTTTACGCTGTACCAAGCTGGCTGGGATGCCGTCAACGCAGGTCAGGCAAAAGGGGAGATTGCCCTCTACTGGTGGCCGGCTGTCGACGGCGACTTCATCAAGGAGCCGCCTGTCTCGCAGCTCGACGCTGGCCGTTTCCCGCGAAACATAAACCTCATGACGGGTGCCAACAGCGACGAGGGCCTTCTCAGCATCCACGTGCACAGCGCTGGCCTCAAGACGGAAGAACAGCTGAAGGACCGCCTCCATTTCTATTTCCCACTGCGCGTTCCAGCACCATCCAAAAGATCCTTTCGGCATATCCCGTGGATGCCCCTTCGTCGCCCTACTCCCTGCCCATGAAGGGTGCCGACGGAAAGGACCCTTTCTGCGAGGCCATGCAGGTGGCTAATCTCACGTGCGAGCCGCAGACAAGGCGCATGGCATCGATCCTCGGCGACTTTGCTTTCATCTCGAGGCGACGGCATTCGGCCGAGTCGTTCGCCAAGTACGGTGTTAAGACGTACAGCTACAGGTGAGGCGGGTCGAGACGGGACCGGTTGGCATCTCGCAGAGCAACGCTAACATGGACGGTGTAGATTCGACACTGACCCAACAGACATTCCGATCAGCGAGGTCTTGGCGCCGGGCTTCGCCACGCACGCGAGCGAGTACACGTACTTCTTTGGCTTCCCTCCCGATTACAACATGTATGAGCGCAATTCGCCGGTCGTCAACGTCAGCTCGCACCTGAGGCTCTCCCGTGGCATCGTTGACAAGCTTGTGTCCTACATTGCAACAGGGGACCCCAACACAAAGAAGGGTAAGCACTGGCTTTTCAGCTGCGTGCCTGGCAGTAGAAAATCGTGGCTGACCATACTCAACAGTTGATTTCATGCCTAAATGGACGCCCTACAATGTCAATTCGCCGAAGAACATGCTGTTCAACGCCACGGCGTCGAACAACAAGATCAATGTTCGTCTTGAGGAAGATACCTGGCGCAAGGAAGGCATGGCGTTGTGGTCTGAGTACGCCTTCGAGCTGGACCCTGGGAGCAAGTGGAGGCGGTGATCGGATCGTGACAGTGATCTGACAGTCGTACTCAACAAGTAATCGTAATCGTAAATTGGATGATGGCTGAAGTCAATTGGGGGCCTTTCTCAGGTAGTCAAGTATTGAGGAGTCGTTCAGAAAACGAGACGCCTAGTTGGAGGATCACGCGTTGTGCTGATATCAATCCATGTTGATGACGATGATGGAGAGAATATCAGACTATGTTGTTGATGATGGAGAGATATCCAGAATAATTTCGAGATAGATAATGAGCACCATTCCCTCGTGGTGTCGATACCGTACCGAATTCACAAGTACCTCGTATGGTGAGTGAGCTAGAGGCAGGAATGACGCATGACACCTTCCTGTCGGAGATGCCAAGTCTCCCACCTGCCTCGTCACAAGTGCTCAGCTGACAAGCAAAGTGAAGGGCTTCCCGTATATTCACGCAGCAGTCAATTAATTGATATGGTGTAGAAGTGCGTCTGAGGAGATGTCGTCGTACCAGCCAACATCTACAGTCTTCTTGTATGTCTATTGCTCTAGTGAGGCTGTCCCACCCTCTAACGATGAGGTCTTTCCAGGACAATCAAATGTGAGCCCAGGGGTGGCAAGATCGAGAGAGGGCTGTGCCGCCGGGCGGGTTGCTCTGGTAGTGGAAGACGGTGGTGGGCTTCTTTTGCGGTGTTTATGTTTAAGGAAGGAATCTCTGTGAACATCGATCCGTCTCCCTCCTCTTTTGGAGTGGGTGCCGCTTGGCGATGGTCACATCGGCTCACTGATTGCTTGTCACCGCCACACTAGACCCCCGAGGAAGGAAATGACGACAAAAGAGCTGAGATGTTTTGATTCGAGGATGGGTATGTGGGTAGGTAGGTAGCTGTCTGGGTATCTCATAGTGTAGTGGCATCCTCGTCTGCAGCCTCGACGACTCTCTTACCACTCGTAATCTCCCGCCTCGACTTCCCTTCCCGCCCTTCCATAAAAGGCACCAGAAACCGCGAGAGGCCCGACTCGACATCAAGGTCCCTCCGCCTCGCCTCCTCCAGCAGCGACCACACACGCTCATCCTGCGCGTCGGCGGCTCGCCGCACGAGCAGTACCGCCGTGTCCCTCGACAGCCACGTCTCGTCTTCGGGGCCCAGCAGCTCAACGCACCGGAACGCCTGTTCGACGTCCCTCACGTCCGCGAACGCGCGGATGGCGCGGTCGAATGCCGCCCTGTCCGCGCGCAGGGCCGTCGTGGGGTTCTCCTCGACGAGAAAGCGCAAGGCCCTCGTGTCCTCGCACGCGGCGAGCAGGTGCCTGAATGTCGTCTCGTCGGCGAGCGCCTGCGTGTACCGGGGTATCTGCTTGTAGACTTGGAGAGCGGCGTCGAAGCCCTTCGCCGCGACCGTGGCCTCGACGACGACGTTCAGCGCCTGGATCGGCACGTCGTAGTCCGGCACGAGCGCGGCGAGCCCCTCGAGCGCCCCGTCTAGCAGCGCCGGCTCGGCCTTGAGCCGCGCGTAGACGGAGCGTGTGCTCCCCTCCGGGGCGACCCCGAGCGCCCGGAACATGATGCACAGCAGCCTCAGCGCGTTGGGGACGTCCCAGGCGTTGGCGTAGCTGTCGATGAGCGCTTCGTAGTGGTGCACGCCGAGCTTGGCGCCGCGCGCCGTCAGCACGCCCATAGCTGCCGTCGCGAGGTCCGGGTGACCCCCGCGCGCCGCCGTGTCCAGCACGGCGAGCAGGGTGCCGTCCGAGACGCGGCGGCGGTCGTGGTCGAGAAAGCGGCCCCAGATGTAGGACGTGCCCTCGACGTGCGAGGCGGCGGCGCAGGCGTCGAGCAGAACGTGCCACAGGGCCACAGGGACGTCCTCACTCGTGGCATGGCGCTTCTCGTGAGCGAGGCGGACGGCCTCGTCGAGGAAGCCACGGTGGGCAAATGCGAGGACGAAGACATCGAAGAGACGTAGTGGCACATCGGTGTTCTTGTCGAGGAGCTCTTCGGCCTTGTCAAAGGCCAGCTCGTACTGGCCATCACGGAGGAGGCCGAGAGCAACATTGCAGTGGCCGGAAAGGGTGATGGGCGTCCAGGACTCTTGCATGGCCCAGAGAATTTCGTTGCGAAGGAGGTAGTTGGGGTGGATGGCGAGAGCCTGTCTCTTTTAGCTTTGCATGGCGAGAGATAGGGGGGGATCCTGTCGCCTCAGACATACCTCGAGTGCGTCATGACAGAGCTGTGCGCCAGGATTCAAGCCCAGCTGGTGCATCTCGGCAAGGAGCTGGGCGATCATGTCGGCTGATCCATTGGTATCTCGCGCGCAAGCGATGAGGCATTCGTAGAGCGCTGGGCTAGGTTGTTGTCCTCTGTCTTGAATGAGATGCCGTACGATAGCCGCCGCCGTACGGAAGCTGTCTGGTATTGTCTGGAGCTGACGTAGTGCATCGAGCATATCGGGGACGGAGGCCATCGGTAGGAAATCGCGGTCGAGGATTGTCGGGGGAGGGGCCTTCAAAATCGACCGAACACGAGCGTCGTTGACAGCACCTGCCGCTTCATATGCCACAGCGCGCACAGGGATGGCGGAGGACGCATAGCGACGATATGCTGTGGTCTGCACGCGTCTTGTGGCCGTGACCGAGAGGCAATCTCGTCTTCGAGTCGTCGCATGAAGTGTCCGGGGGACGATCGGGGCGTTGAGTACTCTAAAGGCGAGGACGGGGTCCACGGAGGGACAGAGGCAGCGCCATAGTCCGTCAAAGGCAACCCGCGAGCCTGACATTAGGTCGGTCGTGCTGCTAGCGCATGAGCGTCACGCTCTCCCGTAAGACATATCTCGAGAGTGATGGCCAAAAGCTGAATCGAAGACGGAGTCCAAGAGTTCAAGCTTCAGTGGATCTTCACGTGATCACGTGACCCATGTGTGAGTCCTTCATCGATCCGAAAGCACGAGGCACCACACACAACCAAGGTCCTCCTAGATGCGCTGAAAATGCATTTGTGACATTTTGAAATGGCTTTGAAAGCCCTTGCTTCGCCCAGCGCGACAGCGCTCAGACCGGGTCCAGCCATGCTCCAAACACGGAGCGCCCAGCCAGAACTGCAAAAGTGGGAGGCCGCCTCAGAGAGCGAACACAGAGCCGCAACCTCGAGGCCCATCCCCACACCCAGACTCTCGTGTCCGTGCCTTTCAAGCGACTGCGCTGCATCAGAATGCCAGCGCCGAGCGGACGCACCGCGCGCCTGCATCGCAGAGGTTTCTCAACCCAAGCCCACCCAAGTCCAGACTCCAACGGCTTCAAGCGCCGCGCCCCCTCCCCTGCCACGGCCTTGTCCCCGTCCCCTGCCGCGGTCGCCGCCACGGTGATCGCCCCTCCCGCCGCCGCGTCCGCCTCGGAATCCGCCTTGGTTGTTCTGCTGGTTCTCCTTGACAATGTCGATAATATCGTCCGGTACGCGGAGGTACTTGATCTGTAGTCCGGCGATTAGCCTTGCGTTTGCGCTTGGGCGGATGGATGAAAATAGATGTAAACGCACGTTGTTCCCCTTGACATATACCTCGGGAATCTTAACAAACTTGTCGCCTTCCTGTAACGACACACAACTGGTCAGCCATAGCAAGCGCGCATGCGCTCCAGGGCGAGCGCCAGCGGGGTGTGGCCGGGGGGGGGGGGGGGGGGAGAACGCACGGGACTCGTCTGGACGACCTCCTTCAGCGTGAGGTTCATCCACGTGTCGCACATGACGAGGTGGCCGTTGAGGGTCTCGCCGTTCTTGAGCTCGACGAGCATCGGGTGCCCTTGGGCGGCGTTGAGGAGGCCGAGAGGGAGCTGTCGAAGGCTGTTAGGTCGTGTTCCAAGTGTTGCGAGGGGACGTCCTCAGGTCCGGAAAATCTTACCATCTCGTCGTGTGCGAGGGCAAATTTGCGGGCTGTGTGATGTTGATGGCTGGAGGCTTGCGCTCGTGGACTTGGTGATGCGACGTGCTTGGTTGCAGCATGGAGCTGCGTTGTGGTGGGGCGTCGGTGTGGACATCATTGCTTCGGTGAAGGGAGTCGGTGACTCGGTGAGTGAGGTCACCACATCTCTGTTCATACCTAGGATGTGGCTTTACGTACATGACCGACTTTGACGGGGGGAA